GAGGCCCCAAATGAGGCTCTGAGTCACACTGGCCTTTGTTTCTTGCTTGCTGTCGCCCTTGGCTGAAGGGCAGTCGGGGAGCCTTCCAGCAGCTCAGGGCACTGGCAACATTACCTGTGTGGACCTCTTAGGAAACGTATCCTGGTGTGGGTGAGGAGGACAGAGGACAGACTTGGACGTCTTGCTCCTGTGCACGTGGTTGGCAGCCTAACCATGGTGGTCACCCAGCTGAATCTGGAGTTTCGCTTCCAGGACAAGAAGCTGCGAGGCTTCAGCTGTGAGCTTACTCGGTCCCCCCACGGGGTCTTCCCTGAGACTGTCTTCACTATCATTTGCCAGATCGTGGTGCCCATTCTACTCTCAGGCTTGGGCATGTTGACAGCCGGCCTGGTGATGAACATCATCCAAGTGCGTACTGGGCATGTGATAACCAGCATGGGGCCCTGGGTGGAGGGAGAGGGGAGCCAGGATCCCTGGGCATCACAGATAGGTTGGGAGAGCCCTGAGCCTGGCCTGATGCCCAGGAGTCCCGGGCTCAGTGGTGCCAGCCGGAGGTCCCTCCAGAAGCCTCAGGTCTGAGATCCATAGAAGCTTCTGATGACCCTCTCCAAGGTCAGCCTACACGAACCATGTTAGCCTGCTCAAACCATTTTCCTTCCGGGGAATGCAGGCTCATCAGGTAGGATCTGGAGGGGTTCAGACTCTTTGCCATTCGCTCACTACATGAGGGAATTCATTAGCCTCCCCTGCATCAGCTTCCCCACCTACAGACAGGGTTAATGAATGCACCTACCTCACAGGGTTGTGAGGATGGGCGCCTGAGAATGCCTCATGTTGTGGCCCTGAGGGTGATGGGAACTGTTCCCTCCAGTCCCCAGAATCTCTGTCCAGAGCCCGGGCTGGGGTCCAGGCGGTGCGGGATGCAGTGGTCTCTCTTAGGTGGAGGCATTTGCGGGGAGGCCCTTGAGCAAGAGCACACACTCCAGCATTCACTTCTCCTGGTCTGTTTATGCTCAGGTAATGCTGTTTGAATCATTGAGGGTTTGCTTTGTCTGCCTAAACGTTTTTATAGAATTAGTCTGTAATTCTAGACAATATACATAAGTGAAGAAGAGAGGGTGCCCATAATCTCAGTTAACGTTGTGGTGTGTATCTGTCAAGAACGTATGGGATCATACTATATGATATGCTTTTTAGTCAGTGAAGTTAAATTTAAATTTAGTTTTGCAGCCCATGGGGACGTCCCAGCTAGTGTGTGCCTTCCTCAGTTGGACCCCGCATCTCCTTCCTGATGGCTGCTCAGCCTTCCCTGTGCACCTGTCTGAGTTGGAGAGGGGTGATCAGCACCCACCCTGTCCCCCAGTCTCTGGATGAGGCTCATGATGTCTCCTAATTGTCTTCTGCTTGCACAGCTCAGTGGATGGCACATTCACCCCTCCCGGGGCTAGAGCAGCCCATTGTGTACTGGCCAGTACTGTTAGAAAGCATCCATTTGTGGGGCTTGCAACCTATATACCCATCTCTCCCACCTCAGAGCTTCACCCCTTGGGCTTTTGTAGTAGTCTCTCACCCCTTCCCTAAGACACTCCTGGGGATACTGGGGAGAAACACTCTGCCCTGGGTCTCTCCTTTTTGACCTTCCATGACCTCCTCATGGAGCATGAGTTTGAGCCCCTCCACTACACTGCATATCCCTTAGGTGCTGCAGCCTGGGAGAGTGTTGATCAATCAGCTGGGGGATCTTGGCAGAGTCCAGAAGATTTGGTGGCATGTGGGGGGAAGACGGGCTCAGGATTGTGCCTGACCATTAGCAGTGGTGGTGCAGAAGGCCAGTCCAGGAGGAAGTCTACCAGAGGGCAGAACACCTTTCTGGACCTCTGTGTTAAGGTGCCATCTGGGAGGCTAGCATGCAGCAAAAGGGGTGTCTTGGGAGGCAGGCCCAGAGCATACCGGGGGAAGGCTGTTTGCAAATCCAGGCCTTGAGCCATCCAGCTTTGGCAGGCCTGGCAGCTGGGAGAAACAGAAAACAGCCCTGGAAGATACAACTCATTCCTTCTTCCCATTTGCAAACATGCAGTACCTCCTGGCTATGGTGAAGTTCAAGGGCACTCAGGTTTGCATGGCTCCTGCGTGTGCACCACTACCTCCCTGCTCACCGCCGCTCAGCGGTGCAGGGGGCAGCCTTGCCAGCACCACTCCACAGGGTAGTCCCACAACACAGGAGGGTGACCTGGCTCCATCTGTTCCCAGGCTGCCTCATGCTGGGGCCTCGGGTCTTATGAGCCTGCAGCAAGGATGACCACCTGGCAGGTGTGCCTCGTGGCTGTGCCTGGCACAGTGGGCTGGCCCCAAGGGCACTGGTCCGGTCCTGGCTTTACCTCCTCTAGATTTGGGGCCAGAGGTATGTTCTCTGTTTATGGGGTCTGGGTTCAGTCTATCGTTGGGCCCAGGGATTGAGGCCCAGTAAGTGGTCAGAGTATCAGTTCGTTGTTTTTGTTTTTGTTTTTCAAAGAATTATCTTTCAGTTACACAAGAAAGGAAGGTATAAATGTTTCTCTTTTTTTATAAAGTAAGTATCGCAGTTGAGGTTAAGCCCTCAATCTCAGTTTATTCGTGGAGGAAGCCTCTATTATCAGGTCACATGTGTTCTTCAGACCTTATTGGGGTGCACCCAGAGGCAATGACAGGGGTTTTAATTGTGTATGTGGTCTTTCTGCACTGAATCAGACATGAATTAGGATGTAGCCGTGCTCAGAGTAGGTGAGATGCATTCATTCATTCATCTGATTCCTCATTTATTCGCTCAGCATATTGTGTTGAAGTCTGTACCAGCTGCTCTGGGGCTCTGGGGGTGCAGCGGTGAGCAGAAGCAGGCCTATCCCTGCCTTCCTGGCATTTGTAGCCTAGCGGGCGAGGCAGGCACTCATCTGATCATCCCACAAACAAGTATCGGAGCGGAGGCAGTGAGCAGACGTTTGTCTGTGAAGAAGTAGGGAACAATTCTTTCTTCCTAGAGGGATCAAAGAATCTGTAGTTAGCAGGACAGCTGGAGTTGGACCTTAAAGGATAATATAATAGCTTCTAGGATGACGTGAGAAATAGCAAACATTCCAAGCAAAGGGATCAGTGTGTGCAGAGATATAGGTGAATGACATTTGCAAGGAGTGAGGAATGGCAAGCGGCCATGGTCATGGGGTCAGGGTGCTGGACAGGCAGTGAGGGGATCTGTCTGCTCTGCTCAAGTTGTATGCTGAGTACAGAGGAGTTGTTTGGGTGTTGGTGAGCCCTCTGTGGCAGGGGATGCTGAGAAAGCCGGGGGTTTACTCTTGAGTCAGTGGGTACTCGGACTTGTGTGTCAGCTGAAAAGAAAGTGCTCGGGAGCAGGCCAGCTTGCTGGGGAGGTGGGAGGAGGTGGCCAGCCTCAGGGGAGGCCAGAGCCCAGGGAGGAGGGCCCTGTCAGGAACTGGATGGCAGACTGACCTCTGGATGGGATGTGGTGCACTGATAGGACAGCTGCACAGGGGACTGGGGCTGGGTGCTTCTGGAAGACCAGGAGCTGCAGGAGGCTGCTGATGGTGGGAGCACCTCCTTGCCTGGTGACACAGTTTTCTTCTGAACTTTCAGGGGAGGGCAGACTCCTAACTCCATCAGAGCTGGGAATGGATTCTGAATGCCCCAGCTTTGCAGATAAGGTAAAAGGAAAAAGGGAGCCATCAGCCATGGGTGCTCTTTCTCCATCGAAGAACCTGAAGGAGGCCTGACCCTTTTCACTTCAGGCCCTGTAAGCTGTTTTGTTGGGATGCTTTAGATGACCCTTCTGGGCTCCTACAGTAAGTGGGTTCATACATCTTCAGTTTCAGGGAACAGGGACCAAGACGCCAGGCCTCCTGTCTCTTAGCTGACAAAGTAGGAGGATGTTTTAGGTCTAGAATTTTAAAACCAAGAGGAGCCTTTAGTGTAGGGATCACATGTATCTATAGGGGCCAGAGAGGTAAATTAAGTCAGTGGGAACAGATAGGGTATTGAAAATTGGTGGAGGGGTGCACAGGCAATCTAATTGCATATAAACAGGTAGGAATCATTTTCACTTCACAAACAAGTTTTTTCTCTTCCAGTTTTCTTAATGTATGTGCCCCTTTCATTCTTTTTTATTTTATCTTTATTTGAGATAGAGAGTGAGTGAGAGAGAAGAAGGAGAGAGAGCACGAGGTGGGGAGGGGCAGAGGGAGAAGCAGGCTCCCCGCTGAGCAGGGAGCCCGACTCAGGGCTTGATCCCAGGACCCCGGGATCATGACCTGAGCCGAAGGCAGATGCTTAACCAACTGAGCCACCCAGGGGCCCTTTTTTTTATTTTTAATTTTTTACATTTGATAGAGACCTGGATAGAGACATATTCTGTCTGTTTTGACAAATCCAGAGTCTGCATGTGATGCTCTGGGGCCACTTGGCCGTGGTGTCTTGGGGCCACCTGGGAATCACTGTCCCTGGTAGAGCGGTGCCATTCCTCAGTCCCAGCTGGTCTTGCCAGTGCTCCCATTCATGAGGAATCTCCCAGCTTTGAAATCGGTGACTCGTTCCTGTTGCTACAAACACATGGACCACATTGGATACAGCGTGTTTGCAGACTGGACCCAGCCAGTTGGCCTTGGACCCCAGCTTGCCCCCCAGTTTTCCCAGCTGCTGAAGGCCAGAGAAAGAAAGGAATTCTCCTGAGGCCACTAGTGCTGTTCACTGAATAGTATTCAGAAAATTTCATGGCCTCCTTATTCTATGTTTAATTTAAAGCCATTTAAGAAACTACTTAGTCTTATTCATGAGAAGTAACTTGCCACAACTTCTCTTTAAATTTTTTATTGTTATGTTAATCACCATACATTACATCATTACTTTTTGATGTAGTGTTCCATGATCCATTGTTTTTGCCACAACTTCTTTCAAGAAGTTTTGAAGATGTGCCAATATGTGTATTTGAATTGATCTCCTTATTCTTTCCTCACCAGCACTGGCCCGTGTTTGTAGAGGTTAAAGACCTATTGACGTTGGTGCCGCCCCTGGTGGGCCTGAAGGGGAACCTGGAAATGACGCTGGCATCACGACTCTCCACAGCTGTAAGTAGATATCTGAGTGTCTGGGCCAGCTGCCCCCCAGGGATGGACCCATGGGCACCTCCCAAGCTCCCCTCATAGCTTGTTAGCCAGTGGGTTGGACTCTGGAAAAATGAGTGTCATGAGGTTCTGTTCTATCACGATGCTCCACCTGGTCACTCCTCCCAGTCTGCCATTCTGTTTTTCCAGACCCAGCTGGACTCTGGCAAGAGCCAGGCCCAGCCCCATGTGCCCTCAGTTTCTCCTCTAACCCAGTGTCAGGTCTGCTCTGTGTCCCCGAGCCTGGCTCCACACATTCACATACAAGTTGTAATAAGCAATGCAGACTTCTAGAGGGTTTGGGAGAGGAGACAGAGGGTTTGAATCACAATGGCACCTACCTCTGTTGGAGGACTCTGTTCTCTAGAATGGCTCCTTGAATGCTCCGTCAGCAGAGCGGCTTTTCAGGGCTCTGTAGCTCACACTGTCCTCGCCTTGTTACTTGTGGCACCCGTCCCGACTATCCTGGGAGCTGAAATTCTCCTTCTATTATGCATAGTGGTCTCTCCCCTTTGTGAATCAGTGTGTGAACCAGGCCTGTGGCAAGAGGAGGTGTGGTATGGGCAGGAGACTGAAAGAAGAGCAGTGTAGCTGGCATAGTGCAGGTGGGGTGGGGGCGCTGCCTGGAGAGGTGGGTGAAGGGCAGTCAGCCCGACAGTGGCCCCTGAAGAGCCACATCCTAATCAGTCGGGCCTGTGCATGGTTCCTTACGTGGACAGGGTCTTTGCAGGTGTGGTTAAGTGAAGGACCTGGAAGATTATCCTGGATTATCCAGGTGGGCCCCAGTGTCATCACAAAGGACAGGGAAGTTTCAGAAGAAAAGGCCGTGTGAGGGAAGCCAAGGCAGAGAAGATGCTATGCCATGGATTTGAAGATGGAGGAAGAGGCAGGAAATGTAGCTCTACCTGCTGGAAAAGGTGAAGAAACAGATTCCTCCCTAGAGCTTCCAGAGGGAGTAAGGCCCTGTTGACACCTTGATTTTTGTCCCAGAAGACTCATTTCAGAGTCGGCCTCCAGAACTGTAGGAGAATGCATTTCTGTTGTTTTAAGCCATGAAACTTGTGATAATTTGTTACAACAGTAATAGGGAATTAACAGGTAGGGCTGGATCATTTACAGACCTGTAAGGACATTGAAATGTTTTAAGCAGCAGATAACATGATACAGACATGCACACGTATGATTACATTGGTCAGTGTTTGAGAGGGAAAAAATGTTGCTTGCAGCCTCTGCTGTGGTGTCATTTCAGGTGTTAGCATTTTTATTTCATAATGTTTAACTACATGTTAAACATTCTCTGCAATGATCAAATCGTCGTTGTAATTTGTTTAAAATACATAAAACATAGAGGGAAAACACACTAGTAGTATAATTCATTACAGCCATCTGTCCAAGGAGAATACCGTCATTATCATCACAGTAGAACCTTTGAAGGCACTCAACACCCATTCTGTATTTTTGTTTAAATCACTGTATTAGGGTATAAATTAATATAATAAAATTAATAAAATAAAAACTCACAAATTTTAAGCACTATATGCTCAGTTACTTTTGACAGATCTGTGTCCCTGTGTAACTACCATCCCAATTGAGATCTAAAACATTTCCATCTCCCCAGGAGATGTCTCCTCGTGCACTCAGCCGAGCCTCTCCCACCACTCCATCCTGGCAACCCTGATCCAGTTCCAGTCTCTATAGATAAGTTTTGTTTTCAACAGACATTCATGATTTTTAAAAATACTCGTAGTGCAACCTGAAATAGAATAATTTTTCTGTATTGTTTTATATTTATTTTGTTTTATTTACATTGTTTTATTTTAGCTATATTGTTCTGGATGTTTTAGATATTGTAATAAGCCAAGAAAAGGAAGTGAGAGACTTGCATATTGGGAAGGAGAAAAACTCATTATTTGCTATCGATATATTTGCCATCTTGGAAAAATCTAAGCAAATCAGCTAGAAAACTCTGAAACTAATAAGCTCAATAAAGTGACCTGGTTTCAAAATATTTAGATGAAATTAAAAAAATATATGTATTGACATACATAAATGTGTATCTATGTACTCGTGTACACACTAGAAATAATCATTTACAAAATACAGTCAGAAAAGAGATATCTTCTAAAACATAAACTAATTTTAACACATCTTCAGACTGAAGCCATAAATGTTCAGGACCTATACAAATAAAACAATAATACTTTACAAAGGGAAATATAAATTTGGAGAGAGATATGAAGTTCCAGAATGGGGAAAGTCAATGTTATAAAGTTACCAGTTTTCCCTGTTTTAGTTTATAAAGTTAATGCAATTACTATCAGTGTGCCAAAGGAGTTAGGGGAACAGTTGACAGTATTATTTTATTTTATTTTTTATTTATTTTATTTTTATTTTTTAATTTAATTTAATTTTATTATGTTATGTTAGTCACCATACAGTACATCATTAGTTTTTGATGTAGTGTTCCATGATTCTTTGTTTTTGTGTAGCACCCAGTGCTCCATGCAATACGTGCCTTCCTTAATACCCATCACCGGGCTAACCCATCCCCCCACACCCCTCCCCTCTAAACCCTTGTTTGTTTCTCAGAGTCCATAGTCTCTCATGGTTCATCTCTCCCTCCGATTCCCCTCCTTCATTTTTCCCTTCCTTCTCCTAATGTCCTCCATGTTATTCCTTATGTTCCACAAAGAAGTGAAACCATATGATAATTGACTTTCTCTGCTTGACTTATTTCACTTAGCATAATCTCCTCCAGTCCCATCCATGTTGATATAAAAGTTGGGTATTCATCCTTTCTGATGGCTGAGTAATATTCCATTGTATATATGGACCACATCTTCTTTATCCATTCATCTGTTGAAGGGCATCTCGGCTCTTTCCATGGTTTGGCTATTGCGGACATTGCTGCAATGAACATTGGGGTGCATATGGCCCTTCTTTTCACTACATCTGTGTCTTTGGGGTAAATACCCAGTAGTGCAAATATTGGGTCATAGGGTAGCTCTATTTTTAATTTTTTGAGAAACCTCCATACTGTTTTCCAAAGTGGCTGTACCAACTTGCATTCCCACCAAGAGTGTAAGAGGGTTCCCCTTTCTCCATAACCTCTCCAACATTTGTTGTTTCTTGCCTTGTCCATTTTTGCCATTCTAACTGGTGTAAGGTGGTATCTCAATGTGGTATTGATCTGAATTTCCCTGATGGCTAATGATGATGATTTTTTCATGTGTCTGTTAGCCATTTGTATGTCTTCTATAGAGAAGTGTCTGTTCATGTCTTCTGCCCATTTCTTGACTGGATTATTTGTTTTTTGGGGTGTTGAGTTTGAGAAGTTCTTTATACATCTTGGATATCAGCCCTTTTTCTGTGGTGTTTGCAAATATCTTCTCCCATTCTGTGGGTTGCCTTTTTGTTCTGTTGACTGTTTTCTTTGCTGTGTTTCTTGATGAAGTCCCAAAAGTTCGTTTTTGCTTTTGTTTCACTTGCCTTTGGAGATGTATCTTGAAAGAAGTTGCTGTGGCCGATGTCAAAGAGGTTACTGCCTATGTTCTCCTCCAGGATTTTGATGGATTCCTGTCTCACACTGAGGTCTTTCATCCACTTTATCTTTGTGTATGGTGTTAGAGAATGGTCGAGTTTCCTTCTTCTGTATACAGCAATTTTCCCAGCACCATTTGTTAAAGAGACTGTCTTTTTTCCATTGCATATTTTTTCCTGCTTTGTCGAAGATTATTTGACCATAGAGTTGAGGGTCCATATCTGGGCTCTCTATTTTGTTCCATTGATCTATATGTCTGTTTTTGTGCCAGTATCATGCTGTCATGGTGATCATGGCTTTGTAATATAGCTTGAAATGAGGGAGCATGATGTCCCCAGCTTTGTTTTTCTTTTTCAACATTTCCTTGGTGATTCGGGGTCTTTTCTGATTCCATACAAATTTTAGGATTGTTTGTTCCAGCACTTTGAAAAATGTCATTGGAATTTTGATCTGGATGGCATTGAAGGTATAGATTGCTCTGGGTAGCATAGACATTTTAACAATGTTTATTCTCCTGATCCATGAGCATGGAATGTTTTTCCATCTCTTTGTGTCTTCTTCAACTTCTTCCATGAGTATTCTGTAATTCCTAGAGTATAGATCCTTTACCTCTTTGGTTCAGTTTATTCCAAAGTATCTTATGGTTATAGGTGCTATTGTAAATGAAATTGATTCCCTAATTTCCCTTTCTACAGTTACATTGTTAGTGTAGAGGAAAGCAACTGATTTCTGTGCATTGATTTTCTGTCCTACCACATCACTGAATTGCTGTATGAGTTCTAGTAATTTGGGGGTGGAGTCTTTTGGGTTTTCCACATAAAGTATCATGTCATCTGCGAAAAGAGAGAGTTTGACTTCTTCTTTACCAATTTGAATACCTTTTATTTCTTTTTGTTGTCTGATTGCTGTTGCTAAGACTTCTAGTACTATGTTGAACAGTAGTGGCGAGAGTGGGCATCCTTGACATGTTCCTGATCTTAAGGGAAAGGCTGTCAGCTTTTCTCCATTGAGAATGATATTCGTTGTGGGATTTTCATAGATGGATTTTATGAACTTGAGGAATGTTCCCTCCATCCCTATACTCTGAAGAGTTTTAATCAGGAAAGGATGCTGTATTTTGTCAAATGCTTTTTCTGCATCAATTGAGAGGACCCTATGGTTCTTTTCTCTCCTCTTATTAATGTGTTCTGTCACACTGATTGATTTGTGAATGTTGAACCACCCTTGCATCCCAGGGATAGATCCCACTTGGTCGTGGTGGATGATCCTTTTAATATATTGTTGGATCCTATTAGCTAGGATTTTTGTTGAGGATTTTGGAATCCATATTCATCAGGGATTTCGGTCTGAAATTCTCCTTTTTGATGGGGTCTTTGCCTGGTTTGGGGATTAAGGTAATGCTGGCCTCATAGAATGAGTCTGGAAGCTTTCCTTCTGTTTCTATTTTTTGAAACAGCTTCGGGAGAATAGGTATTATTTCTTCTTTGAATGTTTGGTAGAATTCCCCAGGGAATCCATCAGGCCCTGGACTCTTGTTTTTTGGGAGGTTTTTTTCATAACTGCTTCAATCTTGTTACTGGTTATTGGCCTATTCAGGTTGTCAATTCCTTCCTGTTTCACTCTTGGCAGTTTAGAGGTTTCCAGGAAGGCATCCATTTCTTCCAGGTTGCTTAATTTATCAAAAACTACCAGTTGTTGATAATAATTTCTAATAATTGTTTCTGTTTCCTTGGTGATAGTCATGATCTCTCCCCTTTCATTCATAATTTCATTAATTTGGGTCCTTTCTCTTTTCTTTTGGATAAGTCTGGCCAGTGGTTTATCGATCTTACTAATTCTGTCAAAGAACCACCTTCTAGTTTCATTGATCTGACCTGTGTTTCTGGTTTCTAATTCATTGATCTGTGCTCTGATCTTAATTATTTCTCTTCTAATGCATGGCTTAGGCATCATTTGTTGCTTTTTCTCCAGTTCTTTAAAGTGTGGAGTTAGTTGGTGAATTCGGGATTTTTTTATTTTTTTGAGCGAGGCTTGGATGGCTATGTATTTCCCCCTTGGGACTGCCTTTGCAGTATCCCATAGGTTTTGGACCGATGTGTTTTCATTCTCATTGGTTTCCATGAATTGTTTAAGTTCTTCTTTGATTTCCTGGTTGACCCAAACATTCTTGATCAGAGTGGTCTTTAGCTTCCGAGTGTTTGAATTTCTGCCAAATTTTTCCTGTGATTGAGTTCCAGCTTTAAAGCATAGTGCTCTGATCATATGCAGGGAATAATCTCAGTCTTTTGGTATCAGTTGAGTCCTGATTTGTGATCCAGTATGTGGTCTATTCTGGAGAAAGTTCCATGTGTGCTAAAGAAGAATGAGTATTCTGTTGTTTTAGGGTGGAATGTTCTGTATATATCTATAAGGTCCATCTGGACCAGTGTGTCATTAAAGGTCTTTTTCTTTGTTGATTTTCTGCTTACATGATCTGTCCATTGCTGAGAGTGGAGTATTGAGATCTCCTACAATTAATACAATATGACTCTTTATTTTGGTTAACAGTTGGCTTATGTAGTTGGCTGCTCCCATATTGGGGGGCATAGATATTTAAAATTGTTAGATCTTCTTGTTGGATAGACCCTTTAAGAATGATATAGTGTCCTTCTGTGCCTCTAGCTACAGTCTTTAGCTTAAAATCTATTTGTCTGATATAAGAATTGCTACCCCAGCTTTCTTTTGAGGTCCGTTGGCATGGAAGATGGATCTCCATCCCTTCACTTTCAGTCTGGATGTACCTTTAGGTTCAAAATGAGTCTCTTGTAGACAGCATATGGATGGATCCTGTCTTTTTATCCAGTCTGCAACCCTGTGCCATTCTATGCAAGCACTTAGGCTGTTCACGTTGAGAGTGATTATTGAAAGATACGAATTTATTGTCATCATGTTGCCTGTGAAGTCCTTGTTTCTATAGATTGTCTCTGTAAATTTCTGTTCTATATCACTCTTGGGGTCTTTCTCCTTTTATGAACCCCCCTTAATATTTCTTGCAGGGCCCACTTAGTGGTCACATATTCTTTCAGTTTCTGCCGGTCTTGGAAGCTCTGCATCTCTCCATCCATTCTAAATGACAGCCTTGCAGGATAAAGTATTCTTGGCTGCATGTTCTTCTCAGTTAGTACCCTGAATATATCTTGCCAGGCC